GCCTACATCTTGACTGGTTTGAAAAATGTGTAGGCCACCCTTTCTCCAAGGCACTCTGGTTGGCATGCCTGATTTTATTCCCACAGGTAAGTTAAGGAGAGAGAGAGAGAGAGAGAGAGAGAGAGAGAGAGAGAGAGGAATAAGTAGGTATTATTATAAGGCAGCCTTTCTCAACCTGTGGTTCCCCAGATGTTGTTGAACTACAACTCCCATCACCCCTAGCTAGCAAGGCCAGAGCTCAGGGATGATGGGAGTTGTAGTCCAACAACATCTGGGGACCCACAAGTTGAGAACCGCTGTTATAAGGGGTGGGATTCAACTAATTGAGCCCCATCGATGGAAGCCTGAGCAAGAGCTTCTGCTAGTCGCAACAGGGCTTCTCCCAACTCTTTCTCCTAACCTGTTCATCCCCAAATTGACTCCAGAGTGGTCAGGAGAACTTCCAGAATGGCACCGGAGAGCCAATCGTTGCATCAGGGAAGTAGAAATGTTTGTGCCAATTGAGTGATCTGCTTAGCGCTACGTTGAATTTCTCCCAAAGTTATTGAGCGCCAGTGTGGTGTAGTGGTTAAGAGCGGTAGTCTCATAATTTGGGGAACCGGGTTCGCGTCTCCGCTCCTCCACATGCAGCTGCTGGGTGACCTTGGGCCAGTCACACTTCTTTGAAGTCTCTCAGCCTCACTCACCCCACAGAGTGTTTGTTGTGGGGGAGGAAGGGAAAGGAGAATGGTAGCCGCTTTGAGACTCCTTAAAGGGAGTGAAAGGCAGGATATCAAATCCAAACTCCTCCTCCTCCTCCTCCTCCTCCTCTTCTTCTTCTTCTTCTAGTTACCACTTTACAGGGTCCACAATCCTCCTGTGGTTTGGGCTTATCTGCACATCCAAACTGCAAGAGAAAATCCTTTAATCCTTTCTTCGGAAAATGAGCCCCATCTTGCCTTGTTGTTCCTTCAGCAATTGATGTAGTGATGTAGTTTAGAATGGTTCCACCAGTAGCTTGACTTCACCCCCTCCATTGTCTCCTGAGACAGACAAGATGCCAACAGCAACAAATCTAGAAGGTATCATCGAAAGAGTCAGAAGATCCGTATTCCCATTTTGTCTCCACTGATGTCTTATATTGCATGCTGGCAAATCACTTCATCACTGTTTTCCCCTCCCAAACATTCCTTATCCTGTCTCTTTAGACGACAAAGTTTTTAGACCATGGATGACCTCCATGGGGCCAGATCTTAGTTGGGTTCATTTTGGTACTTCCTTCCTCCTTATCCAAATAATTATACTAATAATTGTCTTTTAAGGAAGAGTTATGCATATAATTAGAACCTGATTACTTTGCATGTGAGAATTTAATGATGATCACTATCTCTGGGCAAGCATGTGGAACCTTGCAGGATCGTGACATTAATAATTGCCAAGCAGTTCCTTGGAGAAATACTTCAGAAGAGGAAGTGGCTAGTGGTTAAAACAACATTGCAACTCAGTTCTTATAATAAGACTATCTGTGCAGCCATGCTGAGTCTGTGAATCCACTGAGTTTTTCCTTATGTGAGGCTCTGAAGAATAATATTTTCTTTGTGAAGGAAAAAAATGAGATTAAACTGAGAGCCCAGTATGATTCGATGAATAGCATGTTGGACTCAGGAAGCATTAGTTCAAATTGCAGCAAAGTCAACAAACTGGGTGGCCTTGAGCAATTCATTGGATGACAGTACCATTTCCCATTCTGTCAACTGGAAGTAATGGGAACCTGCCTCACAGTTATGGAGATGGCATAACATAAAGCTTCCTAAGGACTCTCTACAGATTGGAGATGAAAACACATTAAATCTGGAACAGAGAGCATGTGGTTCTCAGAGTGTGGTTGGACCTCAGCTTCCATCAACCCCAGTTAACATGGTCAATGGTCAGGCATGACAACAACTGGAGAACCAGAGTTTTCCCAGCTGTGCTCTAAAACATGGATGGAGTCAAAGATCTGCACAACTGGTTCTGTGCACCTAAGAGGGTTTGTGGGCTTGTGGTTCTTGAACAAGCGCTTCCCATACTTTGTGATAACTTACTTTTGAAAATGAGTGTTTCATGGATGAGGAGTTGCAATGTAAAGTGGATTCCAGTATTGCTAGTCTCTCCTCCTCCTCTGACCCCTAAAAACCACTGGTACTAGCAGAGCGCTCAAGAACTAAGTTTCATCCTGTGATGGCCACTTTAACACCTCCCCATGGTAGGATTTAAAATGTTGTTTCTGATTTCAATGTTATTGAAGCTCCTAGAACTGGTCCCATTAACTTCCTGCTCTGGGTTCTACTAATCCTGGCGCATTTGTTCCTCTTCCCCTTGCAACCCAACTGTGTCACTTGGAGTATTTGTTAGGGAACATTGTTCCCGCAGTGTGACTTGATCCCTTTTCCTGGGGAACCCATAGGTGTTCATGGTATGTCTCCTTCCCATTGGACTACATGGCCAACTCACTATTGTGGATCGAAGGTCGTTATTTTGCAGTGGGCTCCTGTTGGTGGATCGTGGGGTTCTATTAAAAAAAGAGAAAGTCATCAAAGTAGATCGCGCCAGCCAGACGTCTGCCCATCCCTGATAGCCATGAAGCAATTTTTAAAAGTAATCTTTGGATTTGGTGTTATCATTACTCCACCACACCACCAAAAGTGATAAGAAGAAAACTTGAAGACTCACCTTGACTGTTTACATTTTCTTAAACTGAAACCATCATGGCAACCACAGCACATCACTGTAAAGACATGGATGAAAATCTGGGCCTCTTTGAAAAGCCTTCATCTTTGTTGGGCATTTGAAAGCAAAAAAGCAAAGAACAATGAACTGGATCCAGCGTTCCAGAGAGTGGAATGCTTCACTCATCAGGACACTCTCACCAAAGGAAGTGGGGATCCCTTTTTTGACAGTTCCCTGTACTTCTTGAATATCTGCTATGGGGATATAATGTGGGTGGTGGTGCAGCAGCAGCAGCAGGGAAACAGAGGTCCAGTGTGGTGTAGGGGTTAGAGTCCAGGAGATCAGGATTCAAATCCCAGCTCAGCTATGAAGTTCACTGGGTGACCTTGGGCCTGTGACTGTCTCTTAGGCTGAACTACCTCACAGGGTTGTTGAGCAGATAAAATGGGGAGGAGGAGAACTGTGTGTGACATTTTGAGCTCTTTGGAGGAAAGACAGGATATAAATGTAATAAAACTTGCCTTGTTGCTCTGGGGCAAGCCTCTGCCAGATCTCAGTCCACTCCTTGAATGGAAGGAGTGTTTCTATTCATGGAAAGCCAACTCTGGATCCAATTTGGAATGTTCAGTTCAAAAGTTGTTGAAAACGGGGCGGGGAAGCAATCAAATTATCTTCTTCCTGAGCCAATTAGCATTTGATGCCGTAAGTCTAGTTACTATGGTTTCCTCGTATTTCCGTAGAATATGATTTCAAAGTTTATGTCAAAAATAATAAAAATGCAATCCGACACAAAATGAGGCATGCTCAAGATGACTGATATCATTGGGCTTAAGTGCACTTTACGCAGCGTTGGATTGAACCCAAAAACTTTAAGCTGTTTGAAGTCGTTCCAGGTGTTGGTAACCACAATATGGATTTACAAGGCAAAGGGACCTCTTTTTTCTTTCTCTTGGGAGTTTACAAGGCATCTATTGAACAGGACTTTGTACTATGAAGCAGTAAAATGGAGCTAAAATGCTTCTGCTGGTATTGAAACAGCTCCACTATCCAGAAATGTTTTAAGAGATTAACAAAATGGTGATTTCATCAGAATGACAATACTGTACAGCTTGATGTTGTAGCTCTGTGGAATTCTCCCCCTGCCTCGCCAATGTGGTTAACGCCATGAAGTCTCACCTCTCCTTCAACCAAGAAATATGTATTTTGGAATTAATTGTATGAAGCTCTTTATATTCCCTAGGTATATGCTTCTGGGTCAGTAACCCTTTTTTAATACAAAGATTTACATCAGATCTTTATTTTAAAAAAGGTCTATTTGCAGCTGCAGCTAGTTTGCCAGCTATGCCCCCTTTTGGACCGAGATGATCAGCCATGGTATTCCATGCTCTGTTGACCTCTAGATTGGGTTATTGCAATGTGCCCTTAAAGACAAATCTGAAACTTCGGTTGGTTCAAAATGCAGCTGGGGTTGCCTTTAGAACTTCTATAACCCCTCTTTTTAAATGTCTACTGGTTTGGTTTTGGGCCCAATTCAAGTGCCCCATACTAGCATTTATAGCCCTACATGACTTTGACTGCAGATATCTGAGAGACTGCCTCCTTTCCCTACAAACCTCAGTTGTTTAGATCAGCAGAGAAGGGCCATTTTGGGAGTTCCACCACCCACAGATGTCCAGGTGGTGACCTAGGAGAGCTCCTCAGTTGTGGCACAGTGTTGCATCTGGCATCTTCAATATACAACTTTCAATGGATGCTGAAGATGCACCTCTTTACCTGGCCTTTGACACCTGAGATGTGTATTTTCAGGCCCCACCTTATTCTTGTGACTGTAATTTGTTTTAAATTATTGTAACCTGCCCTGGGGTCTAATGGTGCAAGGTGGATAAGAATTCTATTCAGTGCTTTTTCTCTTAAAAAAATGTTTAGGGGTATTCTCATTTTCCTACTCATATGGAAATACTGTCCCTCAATGAGGCCAAACTTAGATTCACAAAATGTTTAGGGGTAAGTGTACCCCTGCATCCCCCCAGAAAAAAGCACTGGTTCTATTAATATTGATGTTAATAATAATTGATAATGGAAGTGACGTGTGATAAGCAATTCAAGAGACTTTTGTTGAATGCTAATAAAGAAAAAAAACACTGAACATATATCGTACCAAAACCTTATTGCATTTATTGGAGTAAGTATGAATTAAGAATCTGAACCTTTTCTCTCTCTTTTTGGTTATTTTTGCATGGTTGTTTCCAAGGATAATCATTTTGTTATTTAAGATCCCTCAAATTTAACCTGTTCATGGAAAAAGAGAGATCTTTAGAGTACTAAATTCCTTTATTCAACAACACAGAAATATCACAAAAACAACTTTACTGGGCAGATTGAATGGGTTTATACAGTTTTGTACATGCCCCATAAGTGATTTGAAATAAATACACCATTTTCAAAAACTGCTTTTTTCATAATTGCACAAGCATACATACACTTTACACAAAGATCTATTAGAAAATTTAATAGATAACTGCACAGTTCAGAAATAGGAGAACAGTGTGAAAGGAGTACATTTTTGTGGTCTCTTTTTCTGAGGGGAAAAAAAGTAATCCTAGCTCCCTGCAATTGTGAAAATGGAATACTTTCTCACATTTGAGCTGTCCTTTATTTGCCAGGAATCAGCAGATCTCAGTGTGAAACTGCCAAATTTAATAAAAACAAAATCTGAAATATTTAGCTGTTACATGAGAACCATCCGTTTGATATCACTATGCATCCAACTATGATCAAAGACCCACCACTGATTTTTGCTGGATGTATTCGACCCTGGATGGTATGTTCATTTAATTGCTTTCTCTCTGTTTTTTCTCTTTCATTATTTGATTACAGACACAGCCCGTTTAAAGACTTCATATTCTTTAGTGTTAATTGTGTGACTTGCATACCAGGGGGTTCTGAACAAAAGGGAATATTTCCTTTCTCTTACAGAGTTGACTATTATTAAGTCCTATAACGCCTATGCATGCTTCACTTGCAACCTTACAGCTGAACAGGTTTATCTGAGGTATGGCAAAAAATAAAAATACTGCATTCGGTTTGGCAGACTTAGCCCTCAGCTCTAAAAGACATCAAAATTGCAGTCTTTTGTCCCAATCCTTCCTGTATTTTGTGAGGCACACACAGAACCTTTTGCACAGCGTGTTTTGGTTCCCCATTCACTCCAGTGAAATAGGGACCTCTGCAATTGCATCCACTAGTTCACACAGAGTTGTCCATTTGCCCAAAATGGGAGAACCTCAGCACGAAACTACTGGACCAAATTGTGTGTGTGTGTGTGTGTAGGAGCAGTATTAGAAGTCCATATTATATATGTTAAGGATGCAACTGTATGATCCATTGGAGGGCATCAAAGTTGCTTTAGGCTGGATTGGCTCAAACCCCATGGTGTTAGAGTGGAGCTCTGATCCTGGAAAGGGAGTTTTGACAGAGCTCCAATGTTGGAGATTCCAAGCCCTCCTGGTCCCCTGTCCTGCTCACAAGTCAGGTGGGAACTCAGACATGCTTCTGAGCATGTCTAAACTCCTCCCTCCTTTCCCCCTCCCATTGGAAACAATGGAGGTAAAATGGGGGGGGTAAATAAATTAAGATATGTATGTGTAGAGTTTTCCAATGCCTTCACTACCACCCAGCAAGCCAGGAGATCCTAGCAGAATGTTGGATGAGGTGGTCAAACCACCTTTGTTCTCCCCCACCCCCATCAACACACACCGGTTAGGATTGCAGCCTAAATCATTTGAGGAGGTTTTGGGAAACACAAATGAGATTCAAACCCCTAACAATAATCTATGTTACAAATGATAACCATATACAGGAGAAAAGAGGCTAAGAGGTCAGAAAAGAGATTTCCTTCTTCAAAACACTTGCAACTAAAATACTCAAATATATGCACTACACATCATACAAATTGTGTGTCAATGAAACAAAAATTCTTGATAAGGCTGGTAGACATAGACTAAAAGAAATTCCAATAATAATAATAATAATAATTGCGGGGATCCAAGTGAATGTATCCATGTCCTTTTTAATAATAATAATTATAATTGACAGTTTTGGAATTTTTAACCATTCGGATTTGACATGTAAAAAACATCACAATTACGATATACAAATTCATCAGCTCTTCCGAAATCAATCAAACAAAACAAAACAAAACAAAACAAAACATAAAAACCCAGAAATGAAACTACATTGACACATGCAACATCAGGGTATTAAGACAGTACATTGCTATGAATCATTGTACACCTAACGTAGCCTGAACTGAATTTTTCTGTCCCTACTTTTAACCGCAATCACAAAAGGTCTTCCAAACAAGGCAAGCTCAACAGCCAGTTGGGTCAGTAAGGCTTCAAGCAATCAATTATCTGTTGTTTCTTAATAATAATAAAAAGTTTGGGGCTTTTTTTTCTCGGAATGAAAAAAGGCCATATACAACTTCTTTACTCTAGAGCAGGATATGGGTTTCTTCTCCTCCCACGCTCCCTCCAGGGAAAGCTTCGGAGAGCTACATCCCTGCGGTAGATGGGGCCATAGGCAAAAGCCAACAGAGCAATGAATGGAATTGTGATCTTTGTGCGATAAGCTTGTTTTTATACACCTTTGCACGCCCCTCTTTATCCTCCATTCAGGTAAACAAGAGGCACCATCAGAGTTCAAGGATACACTTCAGTGAGGCAAAAACCCTCAGGGAAGATGTGAAACAGGGCTGCTGAGAGGTGTGGCACGGGGAAGGGTCCCGGGAGACAGGTCCCCTGGACCTGAGGTTTCCCCCACTTATGTAGATTTAAAGTAGAGAAACTTTCAAGGCCTCATCCGGGATGGCACTCAACAAGAGGTGCAGGAAGTGTCTCTGGGGAAGGGCAGAGATCTTTTCCAAAGGGATATCTTCAGAAGCATCTTGGGAAGCCAGCCCAAACTGGTCCTTCAACCCTGAGATGCCTGCAAGGTTCCCATGGGAAGTTACTTATAGTTCAAGAGGTGTACTTGTGTGGTGCTGCAGGAGATGCTGGGGCTTACCTCTTAGGACATGTATATTAGCCATTTTGGACAGCAAAAACCTAGACCAGCCCTGAGAGGCATCATTGCGTGTCAAAATACCACACACTTGGGTCCAAAGTCTAGGGATTAGAAGCTTCCTGTCTCCACAGTTGAAGATGCCTGGAAGGGCCCTTGAACACATCATTTTACAGGGACCTGGTACAAACCTATTTATTTAATTAAAAGGTGTAGCCCAGCTGAGAGGTAGGTGTCTCCTACTAGGACATGGGAACATTCACACGAGCACTTCTCATACACTACAACTCTTCATAGCAAGATTGTATCCTTTCATCTGAGCTTTCCAGTAGAAAGCCATAGAGAAAATGTTCCAAAGATGTATAAAGTTGAGCTGTGAAAAGAACCTGGAACTGCACACACACTCCTCAAAAAGTTAACCCCATGGATCTAAGAGAAAATAATGTGCCTCAAGAGCTCCTTTTAAACCCTTAAATTCCATTGATTTCAATTAGACTAATTCTGGGAATAATATGTAAGTGTGTTGTCAGACATAACACTAAACCATAGTTTAACATTACACAAGACAAGCCCAGTTTATCATGCTGTCAGAACATGTTGTTTAGTATGCTGTGCAATAAAGATCAACAATGGTTAGTGAAAACATCCTATATTTATAAACCATGGTTTAAAGTTGGCTTGTTTCCACTAACTATAGTTAAGATTAACCTGAATTTGTCTGAGTTTCAAAGATAAAGCAAGTTGTATTGTACTAAAATGCAAGTGGGAGCTTTCAAACTCCAGAGGAAGCTCATAGTCCTGGGGTGCAAACTAGGCTTGGTGTTGTAATGCTAGACTATGGTGCAGCACTATGGCTGAGCCAGAGCTATGTCCTTGCTGTGTAGTGAGAGAGAACCAATTCACTCTTCTGGTGCTACTCCTCAAATGCTACTTTCAAGGGTTAAACAAAATTGATATGATAAAAGAAATCTTTTTAAAAAAACACCCTCCTGGTTTTAAAGGCAGCTGAAAACAAGCTAGACAGAGGAAGTGATTCATTGTGGTGGCCTTTTCTGCTCATCTTAAATCAAAACTCTTTGAGGCTGCCCAAACCATCTAATACTCTTCAAGCCTGTGAGTTTCCCCCATGATAAAAAATGACTGCAATCCTATGCACAGTTACCTGTTCAATCTCATTGAACTCAGGGGGGCTTACTTGTGAATGGGCATGTATGGGATTTTGCTATGAACAATTTAACCAGAGCCTAATCAGCAAAGCCAATGGTTTGTCGGTACAGTTAAAATTCCATGCCGAGTAATTCCACTGACTCCCAGCAGGGCAAAATTAGGCAGAGAAAAGTATAAATCACACCCCCACCCCACCCCAATTTTAATTGCATTAGAAGTGCTAATATTTGTGAACACCATAAAGATATTCAGGCTCTCATGACCTGCAGAGATGATGCAATGCCATCTAACCTTACAAACTATTCTAAGAAATAAATGTTGCACATAGGGCAAAAATAGTTTCAGATACATTATAAAGGGTATTTTTTAAAAAAAATCCTATTGAAAGGTCTATAAAACAACTTCCAGAGGGAAGGTAAATATATTGAGTGACAAATTTCCATCTCCCCCACCCCACCCCGAAATAAGGTTTGGTACTCTTTTCATTTTGTATCCTAAAACAACTTTGATATAACTCTCTGTTAAATCCTTTCTGTATGTCCTCTTATGCTGTAAACTCTATTTTGTGGTGCAGTGCAAAGTGGGTCTGCTAAATGTACATGCTTTGGACGGATCCTGTTCTGTAAAGCTCTTTCCGAAGCAACGCAATTAAGCATTTGCTACTCTAATACCGTGCTCACAAACAATTAACTTTTACATTTTATGTCTTTCTTTTTCATACAACAGTATGGTCCAAAAGGTATTTGTTGGATGCATAATAATCTTGCACATGTCTTGCACAACTTTGCATCAGGTATAAATGGTAAAAACAGTGGTGCTACTGGACAACTGGCAGAAATAATACTTAAAAACTTGGATTTATTGCTCCGGATTTAACTTGCAGAACCACACTGTTGTGTACAAACAGTTACGCTCCATAGACGCTCAGACGTGATTGTCTCTTTGTGTCTAAACACACAAAATACAAGCTGCTATCTGTACAGTTTACAGTACTGAAACACATATATTGGAAAATGAAGTATAGATATGGTACTTTGTAAAGATACATTATTTTATAGCAGGGGTTTACCCAAACTTTTTTTTTTTTTTACAGCCACTTTAAAAATAGACAACAACTTCACTAGTATAGCTAAATTACATCAAAGAAAGAATTGGTGTTCTGAATGTGAGTCAACTGGCCAATTCCCCCAGGGTCCCAGATGTGGTGGTCTCCTGATAAGAGAGTGGCCCTCACGAGCTGGTTAGAGTCCTCTGGTATGGCGTGTTCCCTTATTTGGAGGGGTCTTTAGAGAGGAAAACAAACGGCGGTAGCTAAAACTGGAACCAGTTGCTAAAAATGCAACTGGGGTCATTTGGGGAAAGGTGGGCAGCAGTGGGGCGGGGACGGACAAGTGACTGCAAGGAGGGTTTTTCTGAACAGCATGAAAACACAAGACAGTGAACGTGAACATGATGAGTTAGGAGCTCAAACAGTACTATCTTATGTTCAGGCATTTCAGTGGGGAGAAACATCTGCATTATCGCCGATGGGTTATTCAAAGTGGCTTTCCCTTCCCCTCTTACCCGGAGACCACCCTACTTCATAATTTGTTTTTTGTTTTTGAGGAAACCCCTATACATAAGTGAAAATAGTTATCTGAATATATTCTTCAGTGGTGGACTAAGCAGTTTCTTAAAACAAGACCTTAGCTTGCCATTCACTTCAGGCTGCCTTGAAAATAAGATAATACTACTGCTTAAAAGAACCATCGGAATGCTTCGGCGCTGGGAACTGGTGTTCTCTATAAAAAAAAGCAAGAAAACAAGTTAAGCTTTCTTTCCATTGTGCATTGTAAGATTTGTTCTTTCTTTTCATTCACCTGCTTTGCTTTGCTCTTGCCTTGACATGTCAATCATGCTCTCCAGTTATCTAGGTATTATACAACACCTTGTGATGTTTTAATTATCCAAAGAAATACCTCGGCTTAGCAAAGGTGCCATTTTGAGTAATCAGGGTTTTTTTATTATTATTTTAAAAACTCCCTTTTATTTCACAACTGAACCACTGGCAACCAAAGCAGGTTCCACCAATTGGAAACCAAACATCATCCTTCTGATGAATGTATATGTGATTGAGATGTATTTCTTTCTTTATTTAGCCATGGAAGCACATATTTGGTAACAAAAAATAAATAAATGAAATAGTAATAGAGTCCCAGTATGTGGTCTAAAAGCATATGAGGTTACAACCTTTCTGAAGCTAAGCAGGGCTGAGACCAACCAGTGCCTGGATGGGATTCCAAGGTGGAAGAAAGGTACGATATAAACACATTTACAGCATAGCATTTAATTAAAAAATAATAGCCAAAGCCATCCCACTACACATCAAAACAAAGGAGTTCAGTGGCAGCTTAAAGTCTAAAGGTTGGAGCTAGACTGACCATCCTGACCATGTCTACTCAGAAGGAAGTCCTATTGAACTCAATAGGGCTAACTCCCAGGTAAGTAGGGCTAGGACCGCAGCCACAGGCATGCATAGAATAAGTCAATTGAAATCAACGGGACTTCAGTTAGTCATGATGAATTTAAGTTCCCCTGATTCCAATGGGCCTACTCTAAGTATGATTAAATCAAGATCCATCACTGAGAAACTTATTGTAGCATGAGCTTTAGTGGACTTCAGGCTTCAAGCCTAAGGGACTGATTTTGTTACTAAAACTTCAAGGTTCACCAAGTGGAGTCAGGTGCAAAACTGTAGCTTGGAGGTAAAGGCAGGTGCAACATGCTGGCTCACCAATTACCTGTTGCACCCTATGAGCTAGATACTGTGATGACCTGAACATAAATGCACAAATCTATGTTTGAGCTACCACAGATAAAAGATTCTAATGGCCACTTGATTTACGCAAAGACATGATCACTGGCAACCAGTTAATACTCATATTTTATAGGTAAGGAACATGGAGGCTATGACATGGGTGATTAACCAAAAGATGGTCAGCCTTGGCAGAATTTTTTAAAACTTGCATTTTCACTTGCTATTGTTGAACTATTGGAAGTTAAAGTATTGGCAGTCTACTGCATATCACCTCAAGAGCTGCCATTACGTTCCAGTCTTCCTTCTACCTGTACCATCCTATGTTGGATAAATGACAGCAAGCTCATCTCATAAAAAAAAAGTTGACCTTTGAGGTTGTTTTTGCAATAGTCTGCTATAGTCTAACACAGCAACTTTCCTGCAAAGTGAATTCATTCTCTCTCTCTCTCTCTCTCTCTCTCTCTCTCTCTCTCTTCCTGCTTTCAGAAGTTAACCCAAAACTTTTACAAAATGATGAAGGTGACAGTATTGTCGTGGTATATAGACCATGATTGTTCCCTCTCTCATTCTCCCTCTCACTCTTTTGATAGCTTAAGAGATTAGGCCAGTGTATTCGCAATCGGTCACCTTTGTTTTGTCACCCTCTCATACAGCCCTGTGTGCATTATAATGTGTACTTGGAAATGTCCATTCGCTTCTCTGGATGGAACAGTTAAATGTTGCATCTGGAAAGGCTAGATGCTAAAGAGAGAGAACAGAGTTTCTGCACTTTTAAGATTGCATTATGGCAGCGTGAAACATCTTATGTCATTGTGCTACAGGGAAAAGTAGTATCTGAAGAAAGAAAGAAAGAAAGAAAGAAAGAAAGAAAGAAAGAACCTTCTTTTGCACAACTTGATTAGCATAATAAGCAGTCCAGCAGCAGCAATAGCACAACAACAACACACCATCCAAGATTACGAGGTTGACTAAAAGGCTGTTGAACTCCCTCAGTCCCCAGAGCACTGGTCACCAAGTATGCTGGCAAACATTCTTTTCAGCCTTATCTGGTTTTAGCTCTGCTGGGGCTTGCCTACATCCAGTTCCCAATCACAGGGAGAGATCAAGTAAACATTAAGACTGCAGAACCTCAGTGAAATGAAAACAAACATCAGAGCTGGGTATAATTAACATATTGACATCCTTTCACTACAAATTGAAAGAGGGGGGCATAGCTCAGTCGTACAGCACATGGTTTACAGAAGCTCCCAGGTGCCATCTCTGGCATCTTCAACTAGGGCTGGGGAAGACCCTCTATGGAATCCTGGGGAACTGCTCTAGAGTAGACCCATTGCCTTAGCTAGGTACAGCAATGGAACTGTTTCCCTATAGCATCTAGACCAATCGACCATGAGGCACCTTCCTATGTTCCTATGATAAAATGCAGACATACCCAGAAGGTCCTGGGTAGATGACACATTACTACTCTAGATATAAGCTCTTGACTTGGAATGCAGTTCTGCTTATGGTTAGGCCACTTAAATCCCCTTGAGTTCAATGGGATTTAAGGAGCTTAATTGTGTGCAGGATTGCAGCCCAGGGGAATACTTCAAGTCTTAGTGACTTATGCAGGTCAAAGAGTTGGATTTGTACAGGGTGGTACATGAAGCTGGTGGGATAGAGGCATGCTTGAAGCAAAGCAACTGCTCATTCAGCAAACACCACCCCCACAAAAAAGAGGGTGGGTGTGGGAAAGAAAATAGAGAGTGAATTTGTGTCCATTTCTGTTTGTTCCTGAGCAAGATAACTTTAAAGTAGTGTGGCACCTGCTTGTCCAAAGAGTAGCACTGATAATTCCAACAAGTAACAGAGCCACAAGATAGTAAGCTTTTGCTTAGAGTTCTTGTATGGGTGCCTCTGTCTGCACCCCACTTTCCCCTTACTTTTAAAACACCAGCATTAAGGCCCCTTCTGCACTATACAGTTGAAATATCACTTTAAATAGTAATGGTTTCCTCCCCAAAAATCCTGGGATCTGTACTTTATTAAGGGTGCTGAACAGTGATGGATTTACGCATAAGCTAAACAAGCTATAGCTTAGGGCCCCACTCTCTTGGGGCCTCCAAAAAAATTTAAAGGAAAAAACCTGGATGTACATTTCCAAAATATAAGATAAAGAGCAAATAAAAGAAAAATTACATCCAGCAACAGTGTTGTGTTTTGTGTTGTGTAGGCTCCAATTTGTTATGTGCAAATGGCTTTAGATACCTATTAGGTCCATAAATTACCATATAGCATATATTCAACACAAAAAAACGGTGACAATTTGTTGTTGACAAAGGACAGCTGGACATATAAAGGGCCCCATTACCTTCAGTAGCTTAGGGCCTCATCAAACCAAAATCCGGCCCTGGTGCTGAAACATACACAGACCTACAATTCCCAAAGTGATTTAACAATCAATCCTACTTGCCAAGGCACTCTGGGAACTGTACCCCTATGAGGGGAATAGGCAATCTCCTAACAGCTCTAAAACGTCTCTAATATGATCTTGTAACTTTTGAGGTGGAGCTAAGTAGAAAGCCACAGTAAATACTTTTCAGTGTTTCCCTGAATCAGGAAAATTTTGTGGGCTAAATGCTAGCTGTCCTAACTTACTTCTAATATGTAACTCTTTAATAACTGATTGGCGGGGGGGGGGGTCTTCCTTAAAATGAGATATCCAGCAGTTGTTCAAACATAAGGTCAAACCATGGTTTGGTGGTACATGAACAAACCTGGAGGAACCTTGTGCCTGTGTGCTCTCCCTGCCTCATGGGGAGCAATTCTCTGATGCTCAGTCCTGGTTTCAGGCAAATCAGAGTTTGCCAATGTCAATCAGTGAAACTAAGTCTTGCACTAAGTAACAAACCAGGATCGGGCAGCAGGAAATTATTGCATGGGAGGAGACAGGAGGGGAGAAGAAGTGTGTGGATTTAGGGTTCCTCAAGGTTTGTTTGCATAGCACCAAACCGTTGTTTGACATTATGTCTGAAAGCAACCAGTAGGTTAAAAGGTACATGGATCCTTAGTCCATTCTAAAATATATGTAGACTAATTAGGTATTTTTAATACTTTATGGATTACATAATTTATAGCCTCTCTTCTGCCTCCAAAATTAGGGCACTCAGGTTGTCATACATCATGTTGTCAACATTGTGCCCTCCATATGTTTTTGGTCTGCAGTTGTCATTATCCCTGACCATCTACCATCTACCCTGATCATCTACCTGGCTGATTAGAATTGCAGTGCAACATCTGGAGAGCATCACAGTGGCTACCTCGGGATACCTAAACAGAAAATTAATTAATGATCAATAATACACTATAATTAAGTCAATAAGAAAAACAATATTTAAAAGGCAGCAGATTAAAAGGAGCCCGTCAATAATTAGAGAAACAGAGGGCATCAATGAAACAACAGATAAATTAAAAGCTTATTGGAAAAGCAAGGTCTTCATCCAGCAGTGGGACACTGGGAAAGGAGGAGACAAGGAAACCTCCCAGAGAGTTCCGTAGTCTGGATGCCATAACAAAAAGGACCCATTGTGCATCCCAAGCATACCTCAGAGTGTAACATAATGCACAGAAGGGCTGCATCAGATAAACAGATATGGAGATTAACACAGGGTCCAGAAGCCCATTAGGCATCATGGTCTTAAGTTATTTAGTGCTTTAAGGGTGACAGTAACCAGGACTTGGAATTGTGCACTGAAACAGACTGGTGGCCAATGGGGCTAGTAAAACATCGAAGTGGCATGCTACTACAAAAGCATGGCACCAGACACAGCGTTTTGTACTGCTGATGTTTCCAGCCTTCAAAGGCAGCCCCATGTATAACATGTTATAGTAATCCAGTCTCCACATAAACAAGGCACAACTGTGGACAGGTCCACTCTTCTCAGAAACAGGAACAGTTGCCGCACCAGTCTAAGCAGAGCAAAATAACTTCTGGCCACAGCTGCA